TGGTGCTTCGGGTTCCGCTCTTCGTGCATACTTCTGAGAGAAACAACAGCACGAAAGCAAGAAAAGGCTGGATTTTCAGAGCTCATAGGAGCAAACAGAAACGCCTTTACAAAACAAACTGGCTCAAGATGCCTTCGGGCAAACCATAATCAAAGTGCTGGCTCCGGAGGTCCATTAGTTCCTGAGGACCCTGCCCAAAGCCGCGCCAGGTGCCTCAACTCAGCTTCGCAGCTTCGCAGCTCCGCAGCTTTGCAACGGTGTCTCCAGGACCCTGGCATCGTGTCGGCCAGGAAGCCTCAGGAAGTGGACAAGAGAATTCAAGGTAGACGATGTGCAAAACGTGCAAAGAGGTTTTCTGCGAGGAGCCGCTGACGGGAAGCTCAGCACCAAGGGCGCGCCGCGTGTCACCGAAGCAGTGGTAGACCTCGAGATCCCGAATCTCGAGATCTTCAAGACGCTTGTCTAAAGCAGTGACGCCTTCTCGGATCCTGGATCGGCTAAAAAGTCCCGTAAGATCACCAACATCTCTTCCTGCAGAGGAGAGCCGAGCTGCACTGCGCAAAGTGAGAAGAAGAAAATGCAACAAGACACATCTTCAAAATAAGTCATTGAAGTTTTTTTTAAAGCACGCGAAGTGAAAAACAGCTCTCTCTGGCTCTGGGCCACCAAGCCGCCGAGCCGTCTTGGAGGAGATCAAACCAGACCTCTCTCTCAGACGAACTTCAAACGAAGTGATCTCCCTACATTTCTGTAAGAAAAAGCCGTGTTTCTTGGCCTTCCTCCGGCCGCCTGGAAGGTCCGTGCCTCACCATATGCCAATGCTACACCAGAACAAGCTCTAGCTCTGACAAACAGATTTTTGCCCGCACCATGTGACCTGGACTGAAACTCAGTCTTCGACCCGTTCCAGCCTGAACATTTTGCAGGGCACTCAAGAGTTGGACTCGATTCAATGCTCATCCAGTTCCATGTTTCCATGCTGCCAAGCTAGGGTGGACCGCACGGAAAGCGAGCTCCCGAAGCACGCCGCGCCACCCAAAAACATCGCCCAATAACCTGGTAAAACCTTGCAACAATTCTGCACATACGGGCACCAGACACTTCTTAAACCTGTTCAAAACAAGCACTAAACTAATTCAATACCAGACCAACAAATGCTTTTGAAAAGAAGCACTAAAAAATGCACGAGGAGGGATTATTCAGGCGCCGAGCCAGGCAAAGGCTTCGCTCAACTGCTCTACGAACAGCCCGGAAGCATGCAAATCACATCCCTAACCCTCCCAACACCAGCCCCGCGCAGGGGGGCGGCTTCAACGCAAAAGCCGGCCTACGTCCGATGACCCGCTGTAGGAGAAGAGGAGAACTTTGAAGGAGAAGAGGAGAACTTTGGAGGAGAAGCGTAAAGCAATGATGCCGATGATGCTGGGCCCCCCCGCCCAGGGCACACGCTCGCTTTCCGTCATCACGAGCCCCGAACGCCCTAGGCCGGTTGTTACGAAGCTTGCCCCCATGCTGTGGTGATTTAAAGGCAGCAGGGTGGGGGGCGACCCAGCATCACAGTCTCCCCCCCGAGAAGACACCATTTATGACCGCCTTACTTTGCTTGCTCTCCAGCTCGCTTTCTGGGATTGTAGCGATGCACGCAGAGACTGATTACAATACGCAAGCATGTCCTCCTTCTTGCCCACTGGGGTATCCAAGATGCCAGTACCAAGTTTCTACGAGCACGTTGAAATCGGAGGGCACGAGGATATATATATATATATATATATGGGGGAACTGGATTGGTCTCCCCCGCCGGAGCCCTTGCCCCTCCTCTGCGACTACCAACCAAGCCAACTTCCTCTACCCAATCCAAGCCCCCACCCTCCCCCTTACCCCTCCAATCCTTGCCTGGAACTGCCATTGAAGCCCCAAGGCCCTACCCCCCGTCCACCAGGCCAGCTCCGGTGGGTACCCCCCCCCACCCCACAGGGCATCCTTGAAAAAACGCAATTTTTCTTCTTATTTTGTACGTCAGAAACGTCAAAAATACAGCACAAGTTGCGAAATTTGCTCCGTCCCTGGGGCCCGTGCCCCCACCACCTACCCCCCCGGAACCGAAGCCCCCGAGACCTTGCCACTCCTGTTGTGGAACAGCCCATCCAGCTTGCAAACCCCTGCTAAAACCAACACCCACCCCCCCATCCACCAGGCCAGGCCAGCTCCGGGGGGTACCCGCCCCCCACCCCACAGGGCATCCTTGAAAAAACGCCATTGTTCTTCTTTTTTGTACGCGTTAGAAACGTCAAAAATACGACACAAGTTGCGAAATTTGCTCCGTCCCTGAAACCCGTGCCGCTCCACCCCCCCCCCCGGAACCGAAGCCATTCCAACCCTCCGCTGGAACCAAGGCCCTACCCCCCCGTCCACCAGGCCAGCTCCGATGAGTACCCCCCCCCACCCCACAGGGCATCCTTGAAAAAACGCCATTTTTCTTCTTATTTTGTACGTCAAAAACGTCAAAAATACGGCACAAGTTGCGAAATTTGCTCCGTGCCTGGGGCCGGTGCCCCTACCACCTACCCCCCTGGAACCGAAGCCCTTGGACCCCCGAGACCTTGTCCCTCCTGTCGAACTGCCAGCCCATCCAAGCCCAACCCTTGCCTGAAGCTGCCATCCAAGCCCCCCTTACCCCCCACCCCACAGGGCATCCTTGAAAAAAAGCCATTTTTCTTCTTTTTGTACGCATTAGAGAAGGGTGGGAAAGGTTTCGGTTCTCGGCAGTGTGTGACCGACCCCCAAAAAATCTCCTCTAAATTCAACCCCTGGTTCCCATTATGCTTGTCATCCGAAATCCTGACCGGGGACGACCCCGAGGTATGGCTTCGTGGCATTTGGTAGGCAAAGGTCAGACATGTCAGAACATTCCACATGTCCCTGGATGTCTACTTCCTGCCTGACAGCAATCCAATGTCTTACAGCGCCGCCCCTTCCTTCGGGTTGCCGCCGCAGGCCATAGCCCTGGCTTTGCCATGGGGCGGACGCCCGTGCCGCCGACCCATTGGACCTCCGTTTCTCCAAGGGCCCCCCCCGGACCCCCTTCCAAGAC